GATGGCAAATGTGATTGCCTAGTGAAGTAAGGTGCTGAGTCCTTCACCTTTGTTTGTTATTGATCGTCTGTGGCCCGAGCAGAGGTCATGACCAAGAGTGCGATACTGTGTCTAATGCCAACAATTCTTGAAGGTCTGAAGCCAGTACTGTGCTTGATTAAATCATAGGCTGATCACAGCGCATTTATCTGTTAAAAATTGGTAAAAGTAAGGTTTTAAAGTGACATGTAAATATTTATAATATTATATTTGTAATACTTATATATTGAAGGAATATTTTAACGGTGAATTTAAATAATTTGTTTCATAGAGGCATTGCTTTAATCTATTTTGTAGATACTTATTTTTGCATTCCTATAACATTTTCTGTTCATAACCTATTTTCATCTTATAAATATCAACAGAAGAACCTGGTGGGGTAGCCAAAAGAAAAGCTAAGACTAAAGGTATTTTCTGTTTTTCAAATTAGCCTTGAATGAATGCTTAAAAATGCATGACATTTTTTGGGTATGTTATGTAATTATAGCTACTAATTCCTAAGCTAAACATTATTGCTTTTTGGTTTTGTTTGGGTGCACTTTAGGTTATAAATAATTTTATTGAGACTTTGTTGAAGAATTTTTATCCTCAATCTTAGGATCACAAGTAATTTCCTTTTCACATTATTGGAACTTTGTACTAGTCTTTATGAATTATATTATACCATATCATGCAATATTTATTATATATGTTCAATTTACACATACACATCCTAACTTGCTCCCTAAAACTTTTCTTACCTTGACTTTACTGCTTGAATTACTGGGAAAAAGATGAAGTCTTCAATGATTGATTTCTTTTTACTAAAAGCTCTCAAGATAGCCTGTCTTAGAGCACAATAAAAGCTGGGTGTAGTAGTTTTAACTAAAATGAAAACTTAGGTATATAATATGGAGCACTGCATTACATTGGTATAGAATTTGCTGTTTTGTATTTTAATTCATTACAAATTATTATACCTGTGAACTATTCCACATAGGCTAACAGCTGAACACCACTGCCTTACTTTACATCCCTGTGCTTTTTTCCTGTTCACATGTGTAGTCCTGTCCATCATGGAGAGGGGCATGGGGGGTGCATGAGGGTCCTTGCAAACTTGCGAAATTCTGTCAGTCTTCTATTCAGATCCTTGACATATTGTTTGTGGTTCACTTTTGGAGGGAATAGGAACAGATGAGACTTCTCCTATGTGATTTATAGGGTTTTGTGATTTGTATTTTATCATTAGGAAGTTTTAATGTTTTAACCTTTTATCTCTCCTGAATAATCCCTGGGAAGAAAACAGTTTTCACTGTTTTATTTTTACATAAATAATGATGAAATAAATGGCTAATAACATATACTTTTATTTATTCATCTAGACATGCAAATTAAACATTAAAGATTTAATTTTTTTATAGGCAGTTTGCAGAATATGATCTTACAGCATTGCACACAGATTTTAGTTTTTTGTAATGCCATTATCTGTGTTGCTCTACAGACAGCAGTGAAGCAGAAGGAAGACTCAGGGTGTTTCTGAATGAATACTCGTCTGTTTTCTTACCAGGTTTTAATAAGATTTTTAGGAAGAACTGAAGAATTTCCTGGTTCATCACCAGGAGGTTCAATTAATGGAGAAACCTTATATGACATTTTTGCTGGTTAATCACAGTTTTGTTAGGCCACTTAGACAGATACAATGCTTCTTTCAGTGAACACTGTAAATCTAGTGCTTGGGTTGAACAATAGTTTGTGCTGTGTATGTTTTACATGATTTTGATGGGTGAAAAAATCATCTACATTTCATTATATTACAGAAATCTTTCATTTTCTTTCTTGCTACTTAAATGCTACATTGTACAGTAAATGCCTTACCTTATGATGTCCTAATGAGAATGCAAACAGATGAAATTCAGAGCTTTTCTTAACTGCTCTGTTAAGCTGTATGTAAAGCAAGTTGAAAGCAATATCTTCCATTAGATTTGAAAAAGCTGTCTACTCCATTTAATGGCCCTGTCTCATCTATGAACATGAAAGACATTATGTTGGCTTGATTGGCTCTGCATAAATTAACAGGAAACGTACTTAAAGGAATACTGATTTCATCATGATGAATATAAACAGAAAGAAATTCTAATTTGTCATTTTAAATACTACAGATAATTTTAACGTTTCATGCACATGAAAATTATCTTTTGCATAGTTAGCTAAAAAATTATATTTAATTTGCATTTGCACATATTTGGTTTCAAGGAATTTGTAAGCACATATATTTTATGGACACTGTTTTATTTGAGCTAAATTTTTAAATTATCTTTACACATAAACTTACAAGTCGTGAAAAATTTATTCTTGCATTGCCAATGTTCCTTTAATTATGACATTATAGTTGTGAAGTACGAAGTGTTAACACTTTGTGTAAAGTCCTGTACCTTTCTGTATGCACTTGTTTTTGCAATGTTGCATGTTAATCTTTTTTTAAGAGAAGTCTTACCATATTTCTAGCTGGAGAAATGTGGCAAGCTGCTAGCATTTCTTTTGTAGTTGATATTTTATAGAGGTTTGCATCTATTTTTAGCTGACTTAAATACAAGTAAATTATAGTAGCATTTTGAATGAGCATTTCCTGTGTGGGGGGGGGATAAAAAAATAACACCTTTTCACTAACTTGCTGTTCTATGAATTAAAAGATGCTGTCAATAAACATTTTTTCCTTTGATTGGAAAACTTGAAAGTTAAAGAACTCACTAAAGAAGAGCTCAAGAAGGAAAAAGAGAAGCCCGAATCAAGGAAGGAAAGTAAGATTGAAGAGAGAAAAAAGGGGAAGAAAGAAAAAGCGAATGGCCGGAAGGATAAGAAAATCCCTGATGCAGATGTATCCAGGAAAGAGTCTCCTAAGGGGAAAAAAGACAGAGACAAAGAGAGAGTGGACCCAGATAAAACTGCTAAACCCAAGGAAAATAGGAAAAAATCAGCAAATACAAAGGATATTCCTAGTAAAATGGCATCCCGAGACAGAGATGGCCGAAGGGACGGTAGGAGTTCTACCAGACAGGCGTACTTAGCGAAGGGAAGTGACCAGAAGAGGAAGAGCTGAAAAGCTCGGACATCGGCACCCCAGGAAAGGGGCATGTTCTTGTTTGTGATTTGCTGCTAACGGCCAGAGAAAATGTAATATTGCCCTGGTTGGAGAAATGTATCAATTAGCCATTGAGTATTTTATTGGTGCTCAGCAGTTGAATTTGAAATTTAATGTACAGTCTCATGCTTCTAAGTTTAAAAGATGAAGCTTCAGGAAAACATGATGTAATAACTTCTGTTTTATTAACTTATTGATCATGTGTCAGACGTGTGTAGTATGAAGTATAATGAATTTATTAATATATTGAACACTTCCATTGGAGTTAAATAAAAATATCAAGATGTTAAATAGTGTTTCTGTGCACTTTCGCGTGTGCTAAATGCTGGGGGATGAGACGTTACCCTCTGTCTCAGTTTGTGCTCTGCTCTCCTCCCTCCTCCCCTGCCTGCTTCCCGCTTCCCTATTTTCCTCCTGCGGGGCACCTCCCTGGGCTCCTGTGCTGCCTCCTTCTCCCAGTTCCTTCCCTTGCAGCCCCCCCCCAGTCTGTCAGGGGCCACTCCTTCCTCAGGCTCCTCCCAGGTTCCCCATCTCTCCTCCCTCCCACAGTCTTTGACTTTCTCCTTCTCCTCCCTCCTCACCCCTGCATGCCCCCTCCTCACCCCTGCATGCCCCCTCCTCCTGACCTCTCCTCAGACACCCCTCCCTTCCTTTCCAGCCAGTCCCCAGTTCTGCCCTTCTCCTGTCTGGCAATTACTTCGCACCCACTGGTACCAGCTACACTGCTCTGGGAACTCTGGATATAGCCATAAATAAAAAGGGATGTTTAAGAAGAACACGTGTATTTATGATAATACAATTACAACTTATGATAACACTTGTATTGTCTCGGAATGGTTATAGAAAGGTTTTAATTATTTCAAATTAGGATTCCTTTCATTTTATTTCACAGTTTTTCAGTTATGTTGGTTGAATGGCAAGTATTTTTCATATTTGATAGTGTTATAGTCATTTGCTGTTTCTAAGGAATTGCAAACTTGAGATCTAACTAAAGATTAGAATTTAGTTCCTGGGAAAACATTTAATAAAGTAAAATTTCAATGAGAAATACTGTACATTTGTACAGACGGTTTATCCTGTTCTGCACATGAAGTTTTAAATCTCTAATAGTGACCACTGTGAAATACGGTTAATGAGAAGAGTGACCTGATTATTCATGAAGTCATGTTTATAGCTAATATAAATCTGTGAAACTTTATAACAAACAGGTTTTAATGAATAAAGATAAATAAAACTATGTGAAAGTTTTAAAAATCAGTTCGAATCAAAAGTGCTGCCACAAAGATTTCATTTTTAAAGAAGAATTCTTCACTTTTCCTATGAAGAGATTTAAAAAATAGAGATTTTGAACCTAATTAAAGATATTTCAACTCAATGGTATTTTACACAATGAGTAAACTTAATTGTAAATACTTCTAAAAAGTATTTGGCGCTTTTTCCTTACATGCTTATACCTTTTACTCTTTACAATCAGCCACTTAGATATTTAGTTAACAGATATTCCCACTGATAAAATTAAATAGCAAGGGAGAATCCTAAAGCATATTTGATCTGATGTCTCTAATCCTGTTGGTTTATTGCTAAAAACTAAGACCCAAAGTAATTTTAACATGTGATATTTTGGAGTTTTATATGTAGATTGCACAGGATTTTTTGTTTTTATAGATTACAAGAACAATAAACCATAAAGGGGATTTTATGGCCCTTTTGGTTGGCAGGGGGCACTGGTGGCAGGGGAACAGACCCAAGTGCCCTTGTCGTCAGAGCTCTGCCACTTAACTGCCTCCCTTGCTGATTCCTGCCTGGCTTTATTCTATGTGCTACTCCCAAGGATCAAGCTGGCCCCCCAGCAGGCTTGGACCCAGCTTTCTAGTTTACCAGCCATAGTGCAAAGGCAGTTTTCTCCAATGGTTCTGGAAGAAAAGTCCCTGGGAGAATTCTGATCAGCCTGGCTGACCTGGTGAAGATCTGTGACTTTTTGTAGGTGGGGATGGGTTAATCTTCCCAGGCTCCATCTTGTGCACAGAGGTTTGGGGTGGGGATTGAATGAGTCTTACCCACACTCTGTGAAGTGTTGGGTTTCTGGGACAAGAAGAGGGAGGCTCTGACTGAGAACTGGACAAATAAGAAGCAGAACTGATGTCACCACACATCACAGAGTTCACAAGGTTTTCAAGATATATCCAAATGTTAAGTCTTGGTGCTGAGATAAATGGAATGATTTTTAAAAATTTGTGTACAAAACTTTAGGTGCTACAGATAATTTGTTCTCTCTTATAGATGAGCAGA